ACGAAGGGGATGAAGGTGACGAAGGGTATGAAGATGACGAAGGGGATGAAGATGACGAAGGGGACTCAGATGACGAAGGGGATGAAGATGACGAAGGGGACTCAGATGACGAAGGGGACGAACTTATAGAGTTGATCAACGTCGAGGTTTCCCGTTTTCGGCGAAGCACCACAAACAACGGTGCCACAGCAGTTTCGTTCTGCGGACATCCGCCCCCACACCTGAGCTTCGCAAGATTGACATGATGCTACTGATGAATGACACGGCCACAGAAAATTGCCATAGTTCTGTTCCCCAATATGCGCCCCATACAAACATTCAAGCGTTACGAGGAGTTGTATGCAAATTCTAATTCTAACGTTTCTCAAATGCATTGCAAGAGTTGGATGAAATTTATCGAGCTTGTCAAACCTTTCGGTTCCCGTTATCATCAGCACAGCTGCAAAAAGACTGTGCTAGTTCACAAGGTTCGCGCAAAATGTCAAGGTTTCCTGCTGTCCGAGTACCGAAACCCTTTAAAGCGTTTCAGCCAAACATGCATACGTACATACATACATACATACATACATACATACATACGTACATACATACATACATTGAGAAAGATACGGGCATGAACTCAAAGGGAGCGGTCGTGCTCGTGGTCGTCGGTTCTGGAGGTCCTGCCCCGTCTCTTCGAGCCCTCAACCAGAGTCGAACTGACACGAAAACGTGCCTTTTGCCAAGGAGAGAGGGCAGCACGGTTTGCAAACACAGGTCGTGCCTGGCCTTCCTGTAAGGCGGAGCATACCCCCTGTGCCGTGTGGGGGCAATCAAGATATGTTCTGTGCTTTTTCGGGGATCAAGGGGCTGAAAAGGAAACTTCCGGGATCAAAAACGACCTGCCGTGCCCGAACCGCACCGGCCAAGGGGAAATGGTGAGGGGCGGGAGGGTGAAATTGCACACGGTGTCCTAATATCGTGAAATGGGTGTTGATTTAAACATGCATCATGAAGTGCCTTCAACCCTGCTGTCTCAGTTCTACTGGCCGCGCCTCTGCAGCTTAATGCATCTGAACCAGAACACCGGCTGGCGTACTAGATCTTGCTTCCGACGGTGCTTTGCGTGCTTAGCACCCTGCGGAAATCCCGCCACAAGTCACTAAGATGCTTGTCGCTTGCTGTTTTGATGACCGACAAGGCCCCTGCGGATTCTGCAAAGCGAAGATGTCCTCAACCCACCTGTCCAGCGACCGGGTTGCCAAGCCGTGAATGACTTCGCAAACCGAAGAACCTCACCGCTTCGTGCTCAAACGGTGGGGTCTTGCCAAAGTAATCATAGCCTGGGCAATCGCAGTCAGAGCAGTCAGGCAGGGATGTCCATGGGGAGAGAGAGCGAGAGAGGGAGAGAGAGAATACGGATTAACGAGCATGCAGCAGCTCAGTGGCCTGCGGCATCTGAAGCCGCACACCGAACAAACAAAGTCGCCCCGTGGCTTTGGAGGCATGCTCGCGATGCGATGCTTAGGGCCGCGTCATGTGCACGCATGCTCATGACGTAGTGCGCTTCGCCACGTGGTCAACACAAACATGTGCCACCGTAACCCAACGCTTGCACAGGATGGGAAAGTCTGTTTGCTTTGCTTGTAGTACCTTGAATGCATTCAGCAACTGTCCAGCAAGGCAGCAAGGCAACGTTCCACGATGAAAAAGCAAATTCTTTTTTTCTTCGGATGGGCATCTGTCAGGTGCTACGTGCCATCTTCAGGGATTTTGCTACACGGCGCTTTTTCTTTGGGCCAGCTTCAGTTGCAGATGACTTACCTCCGAGAATGGTCTCGAGCAAACTCGCCATGGCATCTGCAGAAGAGTCGCCCTCAGCTGGTCGGCGATGTGCAGGGGCAGGGCCATGCGAGCTGGCGACCTCTTCGGGACCCTGCTCATCCGATGAAAGCTCCTCCATGCCAGCACCCGCAGCATCGAAGGCATCGAAGCCGAGTGCCTCAAATATCCGGCGTTCCTCTTTCTTTCTCTTGGACGGATCCCGTGCGATCCCAAGATTTTTCTCCAGCTTTCTCAGAAGCGCCTCATCTCTCGCTGCACCTTCTGGATCGAACAACGTCTCGACTCCGGAGACCTTTGCGGCGTTGCCCGGCTTTTTCGGCTTAACTCTCTTCACGGCTGCCTTGCTCTTTCCTTGCCGTTTTTTCTTGACTTCAAGGGGCACTTCGGCAGTCTGAACAGGGGGCTGGACATCTTCCTGGGCAACCAGCTTCTCTGCTCGCTCCGCCTTCCTGGCACGCCGCCGTTTCTCCTGCTCCTGGCTATGCCTCTCGGCTTTCTGGATCTTTCGCTTACTCCGCGCAGCGCGCCTTCGCGCCGCTCGACCGGTCTCCTTTGCTTTCACCTGCTCCTCAGACGGCTTCTCCGGCGCATGGTGGCGAAGAAGTGATGCCAAGTGATTGGGCAGTCCCCGACCCATGCGAGGCGAGACCAAGACCCTTTAAGCACAGGAGGTTACCACATGTCTGGTGCAGGATTCCCAGAAAGGCCTGTGGGACTGAGCTTGATGGGCAGCCTCTAGCTTCTAGACACTGGAGCAGAGCAGCCTTTTGCAAACTCTTGGTTCTGGGATTTGGCGCTTGACTCGGCAAAACACTCCCACCCACACACGTCAGCATGCAGGCATGCAGCAGCTACACGCGCTAGCTTGAGGTTTTTGCCCTTCTCAACTGTCTTGGTCACTTATGGACCTCACACAGAATCTCATGAAGGCAGCTGGCAGGATCGCAGGTCAGAATATCTTGAGACTTTGAGAGCTGGGTAGGAGATACTTTCCTGTTCGCTGGCCAGCCAAGGGAGGCAGAACCCAAATTAAAGACCCATGATCACCCGCGCATCCGTGCCTTCGCTTAACACAATGATGTCATGTCTTTGGGGGCGGAATGTCTGCAGAATCATCCACACGGATTTCAGCTCCGTCTCCGATTCCTCGGCCGGCCGTGATACGGATGTTTCAGCGCGGTCGAAGGATCCGAAGAGCGAAGGGCCCCGGCCGAAGAAACCGAGCTCCCTGGCCTCATCATCAAGTGGCACCTGCCAGCATCTTGAGCCTTGCAAGACCCCACTGCCGATCTGAGGGACCGGCCCCAAAGGGTAGCCCGTCGTCTGCCAATGTCAGCGTCAGCCTATCCAGAGGCACCTGCGATCCAGTTGGGTTCTGAGCGGTGTGTGTTGCATCTCTCTGTACACCTGCTTGAAGAGAAGCTGTGCCAGTCTTTTCAGCTCTCCCACCGTCATGGTGTGCGGCACCTTTCCAGATAGCAGCCAGCAGAAGGTCTGTGATGCTGCTCGCAGAAAACGGAGATCGTGCGTTGCTGGAAAGGCCTTCTTTCGTGTTACAGGCTTCTCCACGATGGCTGCGCCCACCGGTCGTAAGGTGACCTGATAAGCACAGCACCTAACCGCGAAGCAATGCGGCGTGGCGCGTGGCACGCATGTGCCTCCACTAAGGCATTCGACAGTGCGGATCGCGAAGCTTGCGAGTGCTCGGTGATGTCACCACCGACCTAAGAAGCCGGGACTGCGATCGGCTGCGAGCCGACGCGACGGGAGCCACAAATGCGCTTGGCTTCAGGCTACCGCACCGTGGATTGCACGTAATCTCTCAACCTCAGCTGTAATGTCTTGCGGCCAAGGCGTGCAGTGAAAACATCGAGTCCGCAGCATGCTCTTGGATGTTGCAAGATTCCGCCAGTCCCTGCACCTCAGGGATGGAGTCGTTGAGCACAGCAACCAAAACATGGAGTCTTTGAAACTCAGGCCCGACCAGCAGGCTGTCAGTCTGATGAGCAATAGACAGGAAGTACCTCTCGTCGGGCCAGAGCCGTGTCAAAACCGATTGTACTGCCGCTCCAGGAACGGCCTCTCTGCAGCCGTCCGCTCCTGCAACGTTCAAGTCCAGGGTTGAGACGGTCCGACTTCCAATTGACATAAAAAAGAACAGCCACCTTCACGGTTACCTCAGAAGCGTTGAGCCGCATGAGCGTTGGCATGAGTGCGATAAGCACCTCGTGGCACTTAATTAGCATCAAACCATCGAAAACAAGAAAGTGCCTTCGCTCTTGCTAGACTTCTGGCCTGTCGCAGCAGCATCGGAGAGGCAAGTGGAGATCCCGAATCGGTGAGAGGGATTCGTTGCACCTCTCATCATGGAGCTGTGTCTCGAAAGGAACCAGGCAGGCTCGGCCCGCCTTGAGCTCCAGGAGGGCGTAGCTGGCGAGCGCACCGATGCTCCGCCAGGAGGCCTCAGCCAAAACCCACAAAAACAGCTACAAGTCTAAGTGGCCTTTGCAACATGCAGAGAAGCTGCCAACTTGTTTTCGTTCAGGAAAAGTGCCTCAAGTGGATGCATGTGCTTGTCTTCGGAAAGCGTTGCTCAAGCCTTCGCCTTGCTTGGGGTCTCACTGTAAGGCGCCTTGGCGTTTGGTCGGCCGCAGCTTGAGACAGACCCTCGATGCCTCAGTTGGGTAGCCGAAGCGAAGTCCCCGCAGATCCTGCGGCCAGCACCGACTCACATGTCTCTCCCTGAGTTCCGATGCTTTCGCCGAGCAGGTTGCCATTCAGGTGCAGGGCCTGGACTCCACATTCCGTAGCACCCGGCACAATCGCATGCCAAGCGCTGCCTGCAGGGAAGGAAAAGCAGCAATCGCACGGCGCCTTAGGACATGCCGGTCTGCCTTTCAAAGCAAGGAAGTCCCGCTCAACTGTGCACCGAATGTAAGAAGGCGCGGACAGAACCGTCCAGTCCGAAATGCGGTTGTTGTCCAAAACCTGGGACGTCGGTGGATGGATCCAGCACCATGACACGCCACAACCATAAGGCGGAAGCCAGCGACTGAAGTCTCTGCAAGCGGCGCACAAGCGCATCGCCGTTCCCCTGCCGGCTACATCTTGAAGCACAGTTGGTTCCGTGGGGCATCTTGGACAACTAAGGCCAAGATCAACGGCACTACTGTGATGGATCATGCCTCTACGACTTGTTTCTGGATCCCTCCTCCTGCATTCGACAAGATGCCCAGCATCTCCTCTCTTTTAGCCCACCAGTTTTTGCTACGTGCGGAACGTCGGGGCCTACGAGTAGTCGCTTGTGGATCCCGGTATAGCCGTTGAAGGAAGAACTCACCACTTGTGTCGCCACTACGCTCGGAGCCCCTCTTGCAGGATGCCCCAGCATGTGAAGTTTTCAGCTTTGTGACTTCGGGTCAGAATGATACACGAAGCACCAGCATGACACACAACCTCGTCTTCCCAAAACACTGCTTGAATTGGCCGGCAGATGCCCTTAAGAAACAGTGCCAGCGGCGAACTCATGATCTGTCCAGGCCGCACTGCTGCGGCAAAGGACCCAACTCAAGGTCGCAGCAACCAGCTGTCACATTCGCACCGGCCACTGTCAGCAGGACACTGGCCAGTGTTCGCCAAAAGGAAGGATTGAGGCTGTTCCGTATCTGCCTCCCTCAAGCAACCGTGCGATAAGATCTGCCCGATGGGATCTGCCCGCGTTTGCTTGCACAAGTACTTGCCTGACCCATATTCAACGCAAGTTAAAGTTAAAGTCAACCTGAAATGGATAGTTGTTCTGGTGCTTTTAGCAATGGAAAACACAGCTGGCGACCGTTGTCCAGGAGCTCGAAACAAGCTCTCACAGTACGAATCTGCATGTCTGCGTATGCTAACTTGGAATAACGACATCTGCACGAACCAACCAACACAAAAGAAAGGCTGCAGCAGCCGCAAGCACCTCTGCATCGCCGAGTGTAGTCGGGATGCCCTGCAATACCACCGTGAAGAAACGAAAGCATGCACGTCTACTCACAGTGCGGTCGGTGTTGGCTTCTGATGAGGAGTGATCCAAGGCAGCCCTGAATACATGACACACGTGCCTCCTCCAAAGAATTCTGGGAAAGATGCAAATGCTCCAGCTGTGGGAAGAGGCCTGCACGACTTGCGGTCATGTTGCATGTTGACTTGAACGTACGATATGGAAACCAAATTTACGACGAACCTTCTGGCCACAACTCTTGAGCAGTACCACACGCGCCAAAGTCCGATGTTTTCTTCCAGGCGCTCACCACCGAGCCGCCAAGCGCTTCAGCTCTGCGACATCATTCGATGTGAGCTCGTGCCTACCTGTCGAGGCCAAGTGGCCCTGCATCTAAATCGGGACTTTCTGTGTCGGTATGACTTGCTGATTCTTGGCCATCTGCCTGCTCACGATCGGTGCTGCTGTCATCATGATCCTCGCTGCTATCGCTGTCCAGCGAGAGCTCCTGTGCTTCCAACAAGACTTTTGATGGCCAGTGCGAGATGGGAAACTCCATGACCCGATTGGACACATCAACGCAGCGGGTCGCTGCATATCGAGGGCTATAGACGTGCTTCAAGTTCTGGAGCATATTTAAATCCAGGCGAAAGGGCTCGCAACCAAAGTTGAAGGACAAGTCCCAGGGCGTGTCAATCCCGACGCATGGATAGAATCGAGGCTCAACCGTTGCGAAAATCGGAAAACAAACACCTAGAAGCTCGCCGTTGAGCGCAAAGAAAATGCCCAACTCTCCAGGCGCATCAAGCTTACAAACCCCACAGCCGATGACGTCGCCAACGGTGAATTTCGGCATGCGGCCTCGACCTTGATGTTTTTCTGAGTCGTTTCGGGAAGCATCTGCTGAATAGCCATGCCCAGTTCCTCTTTGACAAGAGCTGATCCACAGTGGATTGAACCGCTGACCTTGGCCGTGTCCGTGGTACATTTGACCATCATCTCCGTGCAGTGCCCAGCTGTGCTGGTTCCAGCCTGCCTGTTGTCGGCACAAGCCTCGCAGAGGTATCGATGCGAGCGCCAGGCCAACCGACACGCAGTGTGCCCCGGGCAAATCCCCGGCAGGAACAACCCGATCCACCGGTCTTTTGATTTCAACTTCGTAGTATGCACATCGGCGCGGAGCGATGCGCCATGCCCACGCAGGCTTTTTTCTGCCCAGCGTCAGCCGTGGTAGCTGTGGCCGAGGCTCTTCAGGAAAGGCCGCGACTGCTCCCTGCCACGGCAGTGGATGCTTCGCCATGACACAGCGATCACCACCGAGGGGGCTTGCAAGGTGACAAGAAGTACATCGGGCAAACGCATCCTCAGAGAAAACGATTTCTCGCAGGAGGTTGGCGCCGTGAACTGCAGGAGTCGCGCGCGCATCTGGGAGCAGAGGGAAGCTAAGCTCTTCTAAAGTACAACGTAACTCGTTTCCAGCTGTTGTGCGGAGCGATCCGGGGCGCAGCCGGGCTGGTGGGTAAAGATCCTCTTCCTCCTCTTCGGGCTCTGACTTCTCTTGCGTAGCTTCCGTGCCAAGGTTTTGGTCGGGATCCTTCTCCGACGTGCGGGACCTTGCACGTGCAGAATATGCGTGCCCAGCACCACCGACCAGGTCACGAAACAAGCGTTTCCAATGCCGCTGTAGGAGAAGAATTGGCAGAAACGAGGAATCGGCTTCTGATGAGCAGGCTCCCTGCTGCAACGGACTATCAAAATCGACGTCAAAGCGAAGCTCGATTGTGCAGGAGCTATCGGCGTTGATGATTCGCTCCAAGTGACACCTACAAATGCTGGACCAGTAAAGCTCAATGGATCTGGTGTTCAGAAAAGGCCCCGCGCTTGAACTCTGCAATGCCAACAAGCTACACGGATCCAGAAACGTCGTCCAGTCAGGGGGAAGAGCCTCAAAAACATGAAGCTGCTCCATGTCGGCCTGCGCCAACTAGCCATGCTGGAACAGAGTTTTGAGCCAAGAGCTCACACTCCCGCAACACTCGCACTCACGAGCATGCCTTCGAGCAGCCTTTGGAATCTCTCATCTCATGGCCCTGACCCTCACAAGTAGCAACACATGGAGGCAGGTCCCACCCAGAGCATCGACTGCGAGAAGATCCGACCAGGCCTCAGCTGAGGACAAGCCAATGCATTTAGTATCGAGTGACCGGCTGGCGGGCTCCCGGCAATTCCCGTACCGTTCAGGATCAGGGTCCGAACTTTGCAAACGAAAGGTTTGAAGACCAATCGATCTGACATGCCTGAGCCCACAATGCCAGTCAAGAGCAGACATCTCAAGGAGGCACTGCATTCGAAGTTTCGTACCATTCGGTGCGTGAGCCGGAGCAGGCAGTGCCCCTGGCTGGCAGGCTCTCAGCCGGGTCCTCTGCGAGACACTAGCAGCGCATGCGAACTAGCCGGCCCTGTTCGGGATGTGCCACAGATTCAGGAGAAAGGTCGGAATTGTGCTGTTCATGGGCCGTTCCGATTTCCCGGTGACACCAAAGGCACGCTTCTCAGGCAGGGGTCTAAGGAACGAAGTCCTCGAGAGAGATAACCACTCCAGATTCGGACACAGCTCGCAAATGGCGGCGACGTCAGCCCACTCGCAGATCAGGGTTTTGTCCTTGGTGGCTTCGCCCGGGATGTGCGGTTTCAGTCAGACAAGATAAGGGACTCGCCAGCCAAAGGCTCTTCAGGTTGGGCAGGCTCCTGAACACGGTCTTTTGCCGGTTGTTCTTGACAACAGGTTTTCGCAGCCGGTCCAGTCACCCGACCAGATTTCGTCAGGGTAGCGTGAAGCCAGGGCACTCTCAGCCAAGGACATCCTGTCAGCTCAGCACAGGAGCATGCTTCCAGAACTGGTCACTGGGGCTCCGGCTCGACAAATCCCTCGAGGCGCTGCTGACGCTGCTCGATGTCATAGCGACCAACAAACCTGGCAGTGCAACACGACGCCAATGAAGCACAACTTTGGACTTAGAACTGACAATGAGCATAGGCATGCTGGCTCTTGCAATCTACAAGCCACAAGCGAGGCAGGCCAACTCCACCGACATGGACTTCTCCCTGCCCTCATGGAAACGCCAATGATGCACAGAATCGTGACAAGAGCATCGTCACAAGCCTTGGAGTCCATGTAGTCCATGGCATCTAACGTCTCTTGTCGTGTGCTCTTCTTGGCTGCCTGGCTGGTTAGAGAGAACTTCGCAAGGGGATACTTGCTGGATCGCACTATTGCTGGTAGTTTTGTGCCTCGGGCAACGCCGCTGCAAAGTACTTCTCTGCAATGGCTCGCCTGGCTAGCACAATCCACTGAAGCGGCAAGTGTAGATCGTTCAGAGAAAGGCAAGCAGCGCAACCAGGAGAGCGACTGAATAGGCATACCGAGCTCAAGCTTCTCCACCTTGAGGCAAGGCACGAAAGAACCATTGCAGCTCAAGATCTGGGGAAGCAGAGGAGTTCCGCCCCTGCCTTTGCAAAGCTGCCGTGACCATCCCTGCCGACCAAAACCCACATCATCTCGACCCTTCCCCTCACGACTGACCAGTCTGAGGCCGGCCACCGACAAGTGAAAAGCGTCTTGCCCTGGTAGGTGCCACTGTGCTTGCCCAGTCCTTCCTGTACTCCAAGAAAAAACAACCCCCTCGGCACTAGCTACAGGCACTCCGCAACGGTGGCTCATTTTCTTCCCGCTGAGGATTTTGCAGGGACCGGGCGCCCGGGCCTACATCTTCAGATGCTCTTGTGGCATTCCAAACGCAAGGCCTCTAAACATGTCGGCCATAATCCATAATATCAAACATAAGCAGGACCGAGATCCTGGGATGTATTCTCGGATTTAGACTTAGACGGTATGTACATGACCGTCGAGCATGCTCAGGTACATCCTGACAAGCTTTCAAGTACCGAGTGATAACTTCGTCCGTCCCTCCCTTCCTCCCTCCCCCTCCCTCCCTCCCTCACGGCCTATGCGCAGCATAGCGCAGCCTTGGCGCCCAACGATATACTAAAGTACTGCTGGTTTGACGCAGCAAGGCAGAGACAAGACCAAGGCCCATGCGCAATGCCTTGAAAAGCAAAGGCCAGCGGCAGCCTGAATTCGGATGAGACCCAGCACACGACACAGTCTGAGACAAGTGCAAGCACGCAATCCAACATGCCAAGTCGCGCATCTTGCCGCATTCGAAGCAGGCTGCTCCGGGTCACGGTCCACATGGAGAGGTCTTCAGTTGCCTTCCCGATTCCCGTGCGTGGGGGACTCGCCACCCCCAGAGCGCTCACTGTATCCACTACAGGCTCAGGTTTCGGCAACGACTCGGTTTTTGCGAGACTCGCCCGTGAACCTGAATCAAACAGTCAAGCGGAAAATGCCACGTCGACTCTGGAGCACCGCTGGTCGCCAAGATGCAGGTTTAGCTCGCCGGTAAACTGCCCTCGCACGCTGCACTCCACGAAATTCCGACCGCTCTCTGCTCCAACTCGATCGCAGTAGTCATCCAGAACCTGTGTTCCGAGTAGTAGAGTACAGCTTCACGGGAAAATTTCACAATTTGAGAAACATCTGCGTATGCCTGAGCAGGGCACACCAACATGTCCACTCACCAGCAGGAAGGCGAAATCCGAAGAGTCTCCGGGGTTCCACAGAACAGTCCCTTCTCCGGCACGCTGGAACCTTTTGCAAGCACCACGTCCAACACCATGCTACAACTGATTCCGCACACAGGGAACTGAGCACCCGACTCGAAGAAGCCTCGAAGCGCTCTGCTAGTCTCAGGCTGTAGGAGACCGAGGGGCTCCAAGAGGCAACTGCAGACCTCGTCAAAGAAGACTTCGTCCGCCTCACAGTCCGACGTGCGACATGCAGCCGCTATCCTCGCGCACTCGCGCGGTCCCCAGAGGCCGCCTCGGAGGCTTCGGCGGCCCATGGAGCAGCTCGCGCCGAGCCCGGGCAAGGCCGCAGCAGGCTCGGAGGCGGAGCCGACGCGGCAAGGGTCAGAACCTCCAACCCAGAACTGGGAAGCGCCGTCCCTTAGGCACGCTCAGGCTGCTGAGGTCAAAGCAATCTCCTCCACTCTTTGAACTGCCGAATCCATGTCCTCAAGCAAAAGGTCCGCAAAAACACGTTGCGTGATGCTCTGCAGCCAAAGGACAGAAAAGAAGCTGGCAGCATGAAGTTGAGGGTACCTTTGCACCTTCAGCTGCATTCGACGATGTGCTACAGGCAGCGAGCTTCCGAGATCAGCCCGGCAGCCCCTCGGCCCCGCCTTGTGCATTGCTGCATGCTGCAGGCCGCTACAAAGCAGCTCGATGCCCGTGCCATGCAAATTTGTAGCCAAAGCGTTCAGCTGACCTGAGTTGCAAAGGCCATGGACTCTATCCACTTAATCAGCTTCATCCGGGAAGCTGTATGCCGACGAGTCAATAGAGACCACCTGCGCAAAGTCCAGAATCAAAGCCTTGCACTGGATGTCCTGCACCCTCTTCGGTAAGGAGTGGGTGTTACCGAAGAAGAGCACGCCATGAAGGCGCAGCACCATGAAGCCACCCCTGTTGTCAAAGTCTTCGAGGATCCGGAGTTCCAACTGACTTCTCAACTTTCGAGACCGCACGCCGCGGCCTGGATGAAAGGCGAAGCGAACGGGATCAGAGCGCGCTGCTTGTGCTGCGAAAGCGATGCAGGCACAAAGCAAGCCGATCAAGAGGCCGTAGATGAAACTGATGGTGCAAATACACGCGATGGAGACGGCAATGATGTACTCCAGCACATCTAGAGTGGGCCAAGTCTCCACAAGTGCTTCCCAAACGAGCTCGACACCAAGGTGACTAAGCAACACGCCTGCAAGGACCCGGGGCAGGAACGAAATCACTGAGCTGGCCAAGGGTATTATCATCAGGACGACCAGTGACACGATGAAGCCTGTTATCCGGGAGCCCCCACCACACTTGAAGTACAGCAGGCTTGATGAGTAGACCATGTAATTCTGAAGCGTGCCAAGGCAGGCGGCAATTAAGTTTGCGATGCCATGTGCGGCCAATTCACGGTTGACATCCACCTCCCGCCCAGTGGCTTGAGCAAGGGCCGGCACATTTACAGGAACATGCAGGCAGCTGAAAATTACGATGCCCATCAGTAGGGGTAGTTGATATGGGAAAACGTCCCAAGCAACGAGTTCCAATCTTAGCATTTGGAAATGGTAAGTAGTCAGCATTGGAAAATCGTTGAAAATCCAACCATCCTCCTGCGCCAGTTCATGTGAGTAGCCAGCCACGGACAAGGCCATCCAACTGGCTGGAACCAGGCCCAAGAAGAAAAGTGGAAGCACAGAGGATTCCCAGTCCCGACCCCGGGCGAGCCGAAGACAGCTCAAGAGCAAAAGCTCTAGCACCAGCAAGACAAGGATTTTGGGCCACTGCCTTGCTTGATCCAGAAACACGGCTTTGCTCCATGCCCAGCTTATGCCAGTACTGGCTTCCACGCCTGCTGCCATGATGTAAATACCCATTCCACCAATGCAGCCCATCAAGACAGGCTTTGGCAAAATCATGAAAACTCGCTCTAGCTCAAAATAGCCTAACAGTAGGAAGGCAACGGCCGTCGCGAGAGATGCAGCCGCATATAAGGCAAGCGTGGTGGGCAGAATCATGTCAGGTCTTTCTGCCAAGGACGTGGTCACCGACAGGGCCATTGAGTGCAACATCGGTATATTTTCGACGATCATGCATCCAAGGCCTTCGGGTAAGTTCGATGAACAGGAAAAGACTGCTTGGGCAACGGCTGCGGACAGCAGCACCATTGAAACCCCCACACCATGGAGTTCGTGCGCCATAGGGAAGACCAGGAAACCGTATGGGAAATTATCCAGCACTGTGATGAGGACCGCGATCCCTGCTGCCAAGACTTGCTGCAGGCAGGACATCGACATCTTCAGAGCCGACCTGGAGCTTCGACTCGCCTCAGCTGCGCAAGGACCGACCCGTGTTTCTTGGCACGCAAAAATAAAAAACGACCTGCTGTGATTCCTGCACGCTGTCTATGCCTGCCATCACTACAGTGAGGCATGAGAGCAAACCTTGCTGCTGCATGCTGACCCCCACTCTTCACGGAAAACAACCGACCTTGCATCACCGTCACATTCGCGACCTTTTTCTTGCGGGCTCAAATTCGGCCAGCAGCTAAAGGCACTAAACTGGTTCCAAGCTTCTGGGCTTCCTAGCTCAAGAAGGGGATCCGCGACGCCAGAATCCATGGCAATCATGAACAACATAGGTAATATGTCACGCATATGTAGCAAACACATCATGAACGGTGAAATCCTGAAATTGCTGAGACTGCTGGGAACAGTGGTGCTTCCTTGGGGTTTGCTCACGATAGGCATGCTGAGGTGGCAGTCAAGTTGTTCACTTGAATGTCGATCACGAGCAAGTCATTCACAACACGCCAAAGAGCGATCCCGAGCAAGCAGGAGATTCCTCGTCGTATTCAACCCCCACGACTTCCACGGACTCCTTCTTGGCGAGGCATTGACAAGCTTCAAATCGTTCGGCAAACTGCGACTTCGAGTACTGAGATGTGTGCGGGCCCGGGCTTGTTTGCCTGGTCAGTATAGCCAGCCTCGGCAACAGATTCAAAGGCGCGGCGGCGGTCTTCTGAGCTTGAACTTCATCTTGGCCTCCCCAGGCTTTGCAGGCGCCTCGCAAACTCACAGCTCTGTCGCCAGGATTTCATCCAGAGCCAAGTAGATCAAGATCAAGAAGATCAGGGATGGGCTTGAAGCACTCCTGGCCTTGAAGCTGCCGAAAATTGTAAGTCGCACCACAAGCTGACAACAAGCTTCCAAGGATCCCCGCCCCCATCGGACGGTGACCAGGTTGGTGCCTATCCGGGCACGCAGTCCGACCTGGGCACGGTTGCAGCCCTTCTCTGCACAGCGTCGCAGCAGGAATCGGGTTCAAGATGGGATGCCGAGGCCCGGACCCAGGAGGGAGAACCTCACATACAAGCAAGCCACAATGCTTCGACACGACGCAATCCATCGACAGGGGTCAACATCATGCAGTGTCAGAGATAAGCCTTGCCCACAAATGATTACTCTAGTACAGCATGCCAAGTGCGGCAAAGGTTGCTATCGTCCGATGCTGCAGCCATTCCAGGCTCAGGCGGAGTCACTGAAGCTCTGAAATGGTGCTTTGTGTTCAACTTGTCCGAGTTCACTTGAATTCGCACTTCTCTTCAGCTTGATCCAACTGCTCATGGCAAACCGACAGAGCACATGGCTGATTCTGCAGTAGCTTCCGTGTTGTTTGCCCAGGATACCAACCGTTAGCGCATCTCGAACAATGGGAGAACAACGTCCTAGCCCAAGCACCGTGGAAGGACGCACCTGTGAGTTTAACGGCGCAACTCGCAACGTTTCGATGAAACCGCGGTGTTTGGAACTTCTGTCCACCTGCGGACCTAGGGATGACCTAGGGCACTGGAGGAGCACCACAGCTTCACCAACCATCACCGACCACTCGTGCGTCTCTGGCGAGGCTCAGTGTTGACAAAACATGATTGGGAGCTGCCACAGTGATGCTGATGCGCTCCCTGAGTTCAACGTCCAACGAGAGTTCAACTTGCAGCGAGGCATACCCTCTTTGAGGGCACGCTGCTCGGAGACAATAACGAAGACGTGCTTGCATACCACGAAGAACAACTGGCTGGTGCACAGTTTGTGCAACCGGGCTACGTTTTGTCTTTTGCCCTTTCGCGACTGCGAATCCACTCGTCGATCTGGCTACGTCTCGCATCAGGCGCGGGCAAACCCAGAGAACTCATGAACCGCACACTGCGGATCTTGCCTTACACAGGAACATGAACATGAAAAACAGCTGCTTGCGGGATGCATCGCTTGCCCGAAGAGCACAGCCCTGAGCCACGCACCGTGGTCTGGGCGCTGTTCAGGGTCCAGCTTCGTGAGCAGCAGAACAAACTCCGACGCAGCCTCCGACGGTGTACTCGGCACGTTGTACCTCAAAACAGAATGCGCTTTCAAGGCCCGGCCCTGCGACTGCCACACTCTGTGAGATTTGCAAGGCCAGCCCTGCCTGGAGGGGTGTTTAACCTGAACTGCAACATCACAGAGGTCGCCAACAAGTTGCACCGTGTCGCACCTAGTGCACTCAACACACAAGTCCCTGCAAGGAGCATGCTTCTCCAACAAGCGGTGGTTGTTGGCCAGGTTGGCGAAGTTATGGGAAGAAAACGCATAGCAGGGGGCCGACCAATCCCCGCCAGTATCCCGAACGCCCCCGGTGAGGACATTCCAACAAACGACTCCAAAGGAATAGATGTCGGCCTTGAAGTCCTCAGCTTTGCATCGTGAAACCGGGCCTACGACCGGACAAGAGGTGCTCGTATTGCTTCTGCATTTCTCCAAAGTGTGCAGCACAGATGTTCCTCTAGCTGCGCTTTTCATTGCTCGGGTTCCGAGACAGTGGCAAAGTCGTCGTAGTTTAGTCAGGCATCGTACGGCTTTTGGAGCACTACCTCGGGTGCGACGTAAGCAGGACTTCCTGGAGGACAGTTCTGCAGCGTGAAGGCGCCAGTGGAAACCAAGCCTCGTCCAGAGTGCACAGTGCAAGGCACCCCCGCTACCGAAAGCCTTTGACATCAAGAAATACCTTTAAAAAAGCACTGCATGAAAGCATTACGTGGTCAAAATGCTGCGCTAGCTGACAGACAGCCTAAACCCAGGAACCCATCAGTGCGTATGCACACGTATTGACAATCGCTTACATTACCGAAAATGTGTCGAAGGGTGTGCATGCTCGGCTGAAGGGTGCCATTTCTGGACCGATATGGGTGCTTGTACACCGACTCTAGACTCTAGCCTAGTAATACCATTAACACCAAGATCTTGAGAAAACATTTCGAGAGGTTCACTCCGAAGCTCTCCTTTCAGGCTCTACCATCCCAGGAACCCGCATGGACCAAGAACGACCCTACGCTATCTGCAACTCAATATGGTTTTAGGGGCGGTGGGTGGGACTGCCCGACAGAGAGCCCAAACCCAGTGGAGGAGGCGAGATTTCACCGCGGGACCTGGAGAGACGAGGGGGGGGGGGTCAAGGGCCCGGGGGTCACTGGGGAGGGGATTAAGAAGTGGGGAAAGAGAGGGAATCCGTATGGGAGCACCCCCACCCTGTCCCCAACCTAACATCCGTATTTCGGGTCATTGCGAAGATTGCGCACGTCCGGCTAAACCCGTTTTTACATCTGGACCTGATGAACCTAAACCCTACATTTAAACACTGCACCCTGGCGAGGACCCGCCCAGCTGACTATGTCGCACCAGATAAGGGTTTAGGGTTGAGGGTTCAAATTCTTCTCACACGCCCAGCTGACCTAAGAGAATCGCACACTCCTCCAGTCTACAACGAAGAGAGGTTTTAAGGGTTTAGGCCTTGGGGTGGGTTCAAAGGCCGTACGATCGAAGAAAGACTTGTGAACACAATCCAGCTGATACTCATGATGCTCGCCCGGCGGGCTCCCTAAATCCGCCCAATCACTTGGTCGAAGTGCTACGCCTGCTGTGAGTTCAAAGGCCAGACGATCGGAGAGAGAGTGTTAAACACCATCCAGCTGATGCTCATGATGCTCGCGCGGCGTGCTCCCTCAATCCGTCCAATCACTCGGTCGAAGTGCTACGCCTGATTTGGGTTCAAAGGCCGGACGATTTGAGAGAGAGCTTTAAACACCATCTAGCTGATGCTCATGATGCTCGCCCGGCGGGCTCCCTAATTCCGTCCAAACACTCGGTCGAAGTGCGACGCCTGATGTGGGTTGAAAGGCTAAACACCATCTACCTGATGCTCATGATGCTCGCCCGGTGTGCTCCCTCAATCCGTCCGATCACTCGGTCGAAGTGCTACGCCTGCTGTGGGCTGAAATGCCGGGCGATCAAAGAGAGAGAGAGAGAGAGAGAGAGACAGAGACAGATTTAAACACCATCCAGCTGACGCTCATGATGCTCGCCCGGCGTGCTCCCTCAATCCGTCCAATCACTCGGTCGAAGT